TGAATATTGACCTTGAAAATTAGAAAGACAACGGGAAAACACAACTAAAATGATACCATGTATGGCTTCCATATTATCCTCTCTGTAGACACCAAGGGGTGAGCCATGAACTGAAAGAAGAATCTCCCCAGGCTTCGGCAACCTCTTTGTTTTGGGTGTCATTCCAACTGATAACCTTTGGCTGGTCACCTGAAATAATAGCAGAATAAGATAAAACCATTTTAGTGAGGGCTTTTGTGGACAAAAGATTTATGTTACTCAGACTAGAGTGCGAGTGTTTAATACCTTCTAAGACGGGTATTTTCGAGAGAGAAAAAAGATTGAAGTTTTCTCATGTATTTGAAGGATCTATGCCGATGTCTAGATATGCATTAGACATGGCACGTGTACTTAATGAATAATCAAAGAGTCATAGCAACATAGCCAAATTATACTAGCAGAATATTGATCATTGACTGAATTTTGCAATGATAGTATCTAATAACTGAAAAGTGCATAAGAATAATCGTTTTCCTCCGACCATTTTCTTTTCAATCCAATGGCTAAAGTATATAAACAATGCTAGCCATTTCATCTTCAATAGTTGGAACAAGCTTTTAACAGTGTAACTTTTCTCTGCCAATCACAATCACAAATGGTCTCCATCATAATGAACTGCTTTCCTTTTTCCAGTTTTCATTTTGATTTTAAGTAAAACCTAAAATCATCATAAGAAACTTAAACCCAGCAAAATCATGCAAGCATCCCCACCCAAAAACATATACACACAAAGAAAATGATAAACTAGAATCCTGATTTACAAAGAAAAAGGGTGGAAATAGTATGGAATATGAAGGTACAGACCCCAGGAGTTTGAAGAGCCTCATGCATTCCAAACATCTGACTCTCAGATGTCCCCTCCAAAATCTGCAAAACAGAACATTTTTGGTCTATAACATAACATCAATGGCTGGATGAAAGGTCAAGCATGCTTTAATGCACTCATTGTTTACATCTTGCAACAATGTACAGAACGTGTAAAACCCTAGAGAAACCTTTTTTTTTCATCTGCAACTAAAGCACGATCAATGGGAGGATGAAAATTAGTGGTTCATACAAAACGTGATACAAAATGACATAGATAATGAAAATATGCTAGAACAATGGCAGCTTCCAATCTGCAAGATAATAACAAATGCAGCAATATCCAAGCACCCGTTAAATCTTGTAACTCCAAAGCTCTTCAATCCCAAAAGAAAAGAAGGCAAACATTTTCTACTATTTTTCTATTTTCTGATGCAGGCAGGATAAAGAGAACATACGAAGTCCTTGTTCTGCTGACTCTGAGCTCTTAGAAGGCTCATTCTTGCTGCCAACAAAGAAATTTCAGACAAAATCAATACAAAACATCAATGTTATTATTAGCACCATAAACTGAAAAAGGTTCAAAACTACCTGCTTCAGTTGACAACTCAAAGTCACCATAAGATGGAATAGAAGGGCGGTTAGCATAAACTAAGGACATACGATGTAAAAGGGAAGTATGTATATCTCCTCCATCAGCATCATGAATGGAGACGTTACCATCCTCGTGTTTCCACTGCACTTCGAACTGTCCATTTTCTGCATTTCTTACAACTGATAGATTTGGGAGATTCTCATTAAAAAATTGCAATGCAGGTGTCTGAAGCTGCTCTTCACTAAAGTATGAACGTAATAAACGCAAAGCAGTCAGCAAATGTTCAATCTCTACATCCCGAACAGCCCTAATTGCAGCACATTGCCGCTCAACTGTTACAGAAAAAGCAAAACAATTGAACGGCATAAACATAATAAGCAATTCCAAAGCAGTTTCCGTAGTTTATTCGCTTAAAACATATATCCCAAAAATGTGCTCTAAAACAAAAAACAATGATGAAATGCACAAATACCTTAACTATAAGACCAATTCAAAACAGTTTCCATAGTTTAATTACTTAAATTTACATCCCAAAAGGTGCTCTAAAACAAAAAATCAATGGTAAAAAGCACAGATAACCAAATATTATATCAATTCAAAGCTGTTTCGAGGTGAAGTGCACAGATATCCAAATAGCACAAATCAATCGTAAAATGCACAAACAACCAAATATTGTACCTTCCTGATCCATCAATCCAACTTTTTTCTCCTTACTTTGGCCTTCCTTGTCATTTACTTCAACTCCGCACTCAACTGGTGCTGGAACTTCTTTAACAGCTTTTTTAGCTCTACGCTTCACCATTTGCACTGATAATTCTTCGGTTTTATTGCTCTAAATTTGATTAAGATCATTAACATTCAGGATTTAATGGTGAAAAAAACGAGATAAAGAACCCGATTCAGTGACGAGATTCTTCCTCCGCATCAAAGATCGCTAGAATTTAATGAAAAGTAAAATTAATAAAAGAGATCCTCGAATCTATTAGGTGTCGCTAAAGAAAAAAAAATAGATAATCAAAACTGAAACTACAAATTAAGAGAAGAATTCCGGAGGAGATGTGAAAATGGGTCGCGTAGTGAAATTCCCGCTCTCTTCTTTTGAATTCTCCATTCCCCTCCGTTTACCATTGCAATTTGCAGAGAATTTTAGATATTGGGCTTGAGTTATTAATCCAAATTGCGAAATTGGGCTTGTATAATTGATTTTGGTATTGGACTTCATTGATATTTAATTGGTAAAATGGGCATTGAGGCCCACGTAATTTTTTATTTTAAAATAAATAATAAATACAATTTTAATTTGAAAATATATAATTACAACATTTTAATTTTAAAGAGAGAAAAACAATACACTTTGAATAAATGAAAATATAGAATTATAAGATTTTAATATTTTCTATTATAAATTTATTTATTTATAAATCAATAAAAGTACATAAATTCAATTCGATCATTTCATTAAAAAAAATACCAAACCAAACACTTAATTAAAATATTGGGACTAAAGGCGAATATAACAATAAAACAACCTTGGAAGTGGAAGTCATCAATGGAAGACAATGACTCAATGGTCCAGCTAGAAATCTACAAGTCTGCGCGCATGGATCTCAGGTCTAATTTTTAAACATCTTTATCGTGTATGTGGCTTTAAATTATTTTATAATTATATAAAGTTTTATATTAAATGAGATTCAAGTGTTTTCATGTGTCATTTCAATAAAAAAGCTTGTTAATATCCTAAATCCGTTTGCAAAACACTGTCATCTAATTAATGGTGTATATAAATAAGATAAATTATCTCAAATGTAACTAAATCTTAAGATTTTTATCCATTTTCTTAAGATATTTTAATTTTAATATTAAAATTTGATTTTGATTTCAATATAAATATTGATTGTTAGCGTATTAATAGTGAGATGATATGACTATTTAATGTTGATACGTAAATAAAAAATATTTTTTATTTTATCTCGTCGTATTATTTATCAAAATTAAGATTTTACACTCATTTTAATCGTGGTAGAAAATTACCATTCTTCAATGTCTTCTGCAATCATCTAAGACAACAATAAATTCGTATAATCGTTTTATGTCACTTTGATTATTATTTTTTAAAAAAATATTTTTTAAAAATATCATGAAATCACACACGTAAAATCTCTAATTAGAAATTTAAAGATTTTGTTATTAACTTTGAAAAAAAAATCAAGAAAAATTAATTAGAGAAAAGAAAAAAAGAGTGCGAAATGAAAATATTTTGATACAAATATGATTGTGAATGATGACTAGTGACAGATGACATTGATCAATAACAATAATTAAAAGAATTAATAATTTTATGTAAGGACTAAAATTATAAATAAATTTAAGTTTAATGCCTGAAAATAAAATATTTTAAAATTCAATAGCGTCAATGATGACGCTTCATGGGAAAGAACTTTTTGGACCGCAAATCATGACAGTAGACAAGAAGACGGGCCCTTGGAGCTTAAATTTCAAACGCATTAATTTGAATAGAATAATATTAAATTCTTATTTGACATTAATCCAACGACTAGTCTTAAACCACAAATGCTTCTAAAAGTTTAAAAAATCGAGATATTTACATAAAATATCTCTAAATTCTAATTTCATTTTAGATTGATATTTTAACCTTAAATAATTCTATATCAAATTTTAAGCTAAGACCTTGTTTTAAATCGGTGTCCAAAAATATATTTTCAATTCAATTGGTTAGAAAATGTTATTTTTATCGTAATATTTTAAGTTCAACTGATAATATTAAAAAAAATGTAATATTTAAGATTAAGTCAAACTTAAAATTTGATATTTCCATAACATTTTTAATTTTCGTCCTTTTTTTAACCTAAGTTAGGTTGTTTTTTCTGGATTTTCTCATAAAGGTTCACATTTAATACTTTTAGCTAACATTTTGTTTTTATTTCTATTTTACCCTTATCGTTTTTGTCGTTTTGCAAAGTCAACCATTCGTCCAATATTTGAGCTATCTCGTGTATTGTTGGGTCAATTTCAAAATTTATAGTGCGAATGCCTACCGAATGTCATAATTAAGCAATGGATCAAATTTATAAGTAATAATAATAAAATTTATTAATATATGATTTTCTTAAAATTGATATAATTAATATAATTTCACTCAATATTTATCACATGTCATAACATTATTAATTTTTAAAATATCATCTCAAATTAAGTATCAATTTAATACTTGTTTAAAATTTAGGTACCAAATTAAGAAAAAAATAATTACCAGGAAAAGTTGCCTCGTACTAATTTATATAATAAGCCTAAAAATAATATTTCTTTCTCAGTAACACGAAAACACTCAAAATATACCAAACTTTTAATCATGTTTCCAGAAAAGTTTTTGCTTGATTAACCAATTTAGTTAGCTTCTGTGAAAGTTTTGGAACTGATATTTATATATCCGGAAGAAGAACCTCAAGACTGTGAAGAAACTTGTTTTTCGAAGCTCCAAGAAAAACAGAGAAGAAACATGTCATGTAAGTAGTTATTGTCTTACTTTTTTGTTAGATTTTTATGTTGTTTTAATTCATCAATCATGTGTTTTCTTTGTTTTGTTTTTGCAGTTCTGCCATTGTTACGCACCACCATTGCGTTTCTACTTGTTTTGTTGTCGCCTGCTGCTTCAGACATAAGTGGTTCTACCAAACGGAGACGAGAAGAGGTCGTTGTGCGCCGAGGTGCGGTCGCTACCGATGATGGAAGATGTTCGAAAATCGGGGTCGACGTTCTACGGATTGGGGGACATGCAGTCGATGCAGCGGTGGCTGCTTCGCTTTGCTTGGGGGTCGTAAGCCCCGCATCGAGTGGAATAGGTGGCGGAGCCTTTATGCTACTCAGGGAAGCTGATGGGAAAGCACAAGCACTTGATATGAGAGAAACAGCTCCATTGAAAGCTTCCATGGTGCATACCGATCAAACGACATAATTTACTTGTTCTTTTTAGATACGTTGAATCCATTTTTCTGCAATTTCTTTATTGATGATCTCAGTTTCATCTATTTTCCAGAATATGTATGCTGGGAATGGTGCTCTAAAGGCAAAAGGTGCCCTCTCTATTGCAGTGCCCGGGGAACTTGCAGGACTTCACAAAGCTTGGAAGCAACATGGGAGGCTTCCATGGGAAAGGCTCGTGAAACCGGCCGAGGTTCTTGCTCGAAAAGGGTTCAAGGTTTCGAAATATCTCCGAATGCAGATGGAAAGTTCAAAATCCGGAATCTTGGCAGATAAAGGGCTCCGAGACATCTTAACATTAAATGGGGAGCTCCTGCAAGTAGGTGATATATGTTACAACAAGAAACTAGCAGAAACCCTAAGAAAGATTTCGATATCCGGTACCAAGCCGTTCTATAACGGATCGATCGGAATGAATTTGGTAATAGATGTTCAAAGAGCTGGAGGAATACTGACGTTAAACGACCTGAAAAGGTATGAAGTTAAAATGAGGGAACCGATCTCAGCTAACATTCTAGGCCTTAAAGTTCTTAGTATGCCACCTCCTTCCTCGGGGGGTGTTTCAATGGTGCTTGTAAGTGTATTCTGCTTCGTGTTTTGCCTATGTGAAGTTCATGAAAACAATATAGAGAAAGGGAACTTTAATTAATTACTGTCCCAATTCTACTGTAACAGGCATTGAACATCCTTACACAATACGCAGTCCCTTCTGGTCTTTCGGGGTCGCTCGGAACTCATAGACTAATTGAATCCTTGAAGCATGCATTTGCCGTGAGGACGGATTTAGGTGATCCGGAATTCGTCGATGTTTCGAAAGTCGTAGCCAATATGATCTCTCCTGAGTTTGCGAATAAGTTGAGGAAGACGATCAATGATAACATGACTTTTGGCCCCATTCACTATGGTGGAAGGTAAAGATTACCTTTGAGATGTTGTCAAAGACTTCATTTTCTTCCATATGATCAACTTTGCATCCTGGCAGGTGGAGCCAAGTTCATGACCATGGCACGAGCCATATATCCATTGTTGATAAAGATCGAAACGCTGTTTCGATGACTAGTACAGTGAATGCGTATTTCGGTTCAAAAATACTGTCACCAAGTACTGGAATACTCCTCAATAATGAAATGGATGACTTCTCCATGCCTAAAAATGGCTCCGAAAATACCCCTCCACCGGCACCGGCAAACTTTGTCCGCCCCCGGAAAAGGCCATTGTCCTCTATGACGCCCACAATTGTATTGAAGGTTTGCAACTTCAATGATTTCAAAAGCATAGTCTGACCTATTTCTAAAACTGGTTCACACACAAGTGGTTTTGCAGGATGAGAAGCTAAAAGGAGTGGTTGGTGCAAGTGGAGGAGCCAATATCATTGCAGGGACTACAGAGGTTTTCTTAAACCATTTCGCTCTAGGGATCAATCCGCTCTCATCCGTAATGGCTCCCAGGATATACCATCAGGTTTTTGAAGAAAATTAGAGGTATTTTTGCATTGGTTTTCTTGATTCATTAAACTAAGAATGTTTGATGCAGTTGATACCCAATGTGGCGATGTACGAGAACTGGACAACTGTGATCGGGGACCATTTCGAAGTACCAAGCACCATCAGGAGAGATCTTCAAAAGAAGGGTCATATTTTAAAAGGACTAGCTGGTGGGACGATTAGCCAATTTATAGTTCAGAATTTGGACGCTCATAAGGGAAATGGAAGCATTGGAGAACTTGTGGCGGTCAGTGACCCAAGAAAAGGAAGAAAAGGAGGGTTCCCTGCTGGTTTTTGATCCGCCATTTTTTTGTATTGGGACTTACTTTCTCTTCTGTGTAGAAATAAAACCAGTTTTGATTAACTGTATTTGCTAAACTGGGTTTCCTTATTGAATTGCCACCATTTAAGCAAAATTGGGCTTGATTCCAGTAAGAATATAATAACTGTATTTTCAAATGAAAAGTTTAAAACCACGACCATAGCTAAGCATGCAACACTGTGATGAAAATCCAGAATCTTCATTAACCAAAAATTGGTATTCAAGCTACAAAATTTGACTCTGTAGAGAAACATGGTAAGAGAGTAAGGAAACATCATCACTATGCTGTCGGACAGTAGAGAACCAGGTGTTCATTGACTCAGTGGTCACCCGGTAGAGACTTGATGATAGCAGAATCACCTGCAGGATTTGATCGATGAAGGAATGTTAGTAATCTGCAACGATCAAATTGTAGAGACAAGGAATGATTGGAATTTAAATATGGTGTTTACCTGGGTCAACGGTACTCAAGCAGGATACACGGAAGTACTTCCCACAAGCAGTTCCAAGATCATTATTGTTTGGAGAATTAAAGAGAGATTAGATATCAAGAAACCTAGAAGAAAACTAGCAAAGGAAATCTAAGAATGATCAATCATGTTCGATAGAAAAATTGCCTGTTCAAGCTCCCATAGTCACATTGAGCTAAACTAGATGATTAACAAATGAAAAGGAGAATGTTGCAGCAGTTTAACACATGGATCATAAATCTTTGTTCATCCATAGGTAAGAAATCCAAAAAAAAAGACTAAAGTATTTTTATATAATATAACAATATTGCAAGAGTTCGGTAATTAGAAAGAAACCCAGCCTATACGACAAGTTTAACAAACAAAACCAAAACTATGTAGACACGAAGTACTGGTTCAAATTCATCAAAGTCATTTAAAGCAACAAGATAAAATGGGTAGATAACTTACTAACTTAACAGATTACATCTAGCGCTATCAAGGAGCAGAATACTAACTTCTTTACTTCTTTTTTAGCCGGTTAAGAGTGAGTCTATTCAGTTACTAATAAGCTAAGATATCTCTAATAAGCCAAAAGCAAACTAGTAACAGTTCAAGTCGAAGCAAAGGTGAACAAACAAAACAATCACAAAAAATCATTATAGAGTTTAAGTTAGCAAAAATGCAGGAGACTATTAACTTTGCCTGTTTTCCACACAGCATTGAGCACAATACTAACCTTTCATTTTCTTCTATTTAGCCATTTCAGTGCTTTATTCAGTGACTAATAAGCTAAAGATATCCATAATCCATCAAAAACGCTCTCAAAAAAACCATATCCTCACAAGCTTAAACAAAGGAAACAATCACACAAAATCAGTTTAAGCATAAATGGAAGACGCTGCATTCAAAATCAGTTTCTATCCAACCTTAATTATCCAAACTATAAAGATCCGAAATTAAAAAGCATTTGCAAAGCAACCGAAAGGGGGAGGAACACTTACTTCAACTGTAATGATGAACCCCAACTTTACAAAGCATTGCGTAATATTCAATCTCAGATTTCCTCAGTGGGGGACAATTGTTCGAAATGATAACCAGCTTACCTACAAAAAACACCTACAATCTTCGTTAAAAGAAATTACATCTCGCAAATCTAAGAACAACCCGAATGATTAAAAACTAAAAGCAAGAAAACGAAATTGAACCCAGATTAGAAAAGTTAAATAACCTTTCGAACTCCTGAGGGACTTGATCACTGTTTATAACCAGGAGTGTATTTCCCACTCTTCATAACGAGAGCCAGCCTGTTGTTGATGCTTTCATGGGTCTTCTTCTGTTAAATCCAAAATTTAAAAAACAAAAACAAATGATTTTAATAATTTTTTTTAGATTTGCGATAATAATCAACAAATTCGTTACGCGAACTCCAATTTCGCAACACAAGTTTCAAAATCGCAACGCGAATAGGTAAATCGCAACGATAATATGTAAATCGCAACGCGAATATGTAAATCGTAACACATAAATCAAATTCACAACGTTAATTACCGATATAGGTACTATCGCAACGCGAATTTCATTTTCGCAACGCTAATTACCTATATCGGTAATTGGCGTTGCGAAATTCGAGTTGCGAATTTGGAGAATTTGCAACGATAATTACCGAGGTAGGTAATTAGCGTTGCGAAATTCGAGTTGCGAATTTAGAGAATTCGTGTTGCGATTTACATATTATCGTTGCGATTTACCTATTCGCAACGCGAATTTCGTTTTCGCAACGCTAATTACCTATATTGGGAATTAGCGTTGCGAAATTTGAGTTGCGAATTTAGAGAATTTGCGTTGTGATTTACATATTATCATTGCGATTTACCTATTCGCGTTGCGAATTACATATTATCGTTGTAATTTAACTATTCGCGTTACGAATTTAACTTTCGTGTTGCAATTTTGGAACCTGTATTACGAAATTAGAGTTCGCCTTGCGAATTTGTTGGTCATTTTCACAAATCTAAAAAAATTTTATTAAAATCGTATATTATAAGATATTTTCGATCACTGAAGTTATTTTCTCTTTTTTTTATTTGTACTTGTAGTCGGTTTCTTCGGGGCTCGGCTGCTGAAGGTTCTTCTGACGAAGATGTTGAAGCTTACTATAGGGTTTAATGCTATCTTCCTTTCAGCTTTTAAGGGTTAGATATAGACTCTAGAGCAAATCAATCACATGGGATAAAAGTGCAGAGAAAACATATAGTGTAGGCTGGTTCCAACCAAATTCACTATTTAAGGCCCGATTACTCTATGGACACGAACTGAAATTTTTCTTCTTTTACACTATTGAGAAAATTCACTTAGGCTTTGCCTATTTTAGTCACAAAAATATTTATCAATTTTGTGTTGAAATGAAAGTTAAAAATTATTTTATTTTATTTTTATTTTTATTTGATGTAGTATTTTATTTTTTCCTTTGATGTATTCTTCATCAAATTTAAAAGTTTCTATTATTTTCAATTTTCACAAAAAATATTAATTTTTATTTTTTTAATTATCTTAAATATTGATGAACTCATCTCATTGTCTTTTGTTAATTTGAAAATTTTGGAAACTAATTTAAAATTTATGAAATTAAATACAATAAAATTCATCATTTTAAAATTTTACATAAACTTTGTCAAATTTGGGAGATTTCAGTATATCTGAAAATTTAAATAGCGAGAAACATTATTTTGTGAATATGAATAATATATCTAAAAATTAACTTTCATGGAACAACCATGGATGAATATCATAGCTTTGGATGATTTTTTATCAGCACACCAATTTAATAAAAAAAATAAAAGAGATTACGTTTTTAATAATTTAACATCATGTTAATTACAGAATATTTGAAAAGTTTACTGTCTTAATTGAGACTTTTTATAACTAAATGACTAAAACTAGATAACAGAGAAGTTTAGTGACTATTCATGGAGTTTAGCCTTAAAAAAATTGAGATAAGGTTGTACAAGATGCGGAGGTTGAAGCCATAATGAAATAACTTTCGTCGCACATTCTCAACCCACAGGCGTGGTCACAATGGAGGAACCCTCCCCATCCCCGGACCCTCCGACGAACCAATTTGGATCTCTCAACGACCTGGCCCACGAGCTCGCCTCTCTCGAAGACCTCGCCACTCGCGGCTCATGGCGGTCCATCCTCGACAAAGTTTCCCGAGCCCGTTCCCTCAACCTCCTAACCAGCCCCCACGACCACCTCATTTACCTTTCCTACAACGTCCTCGCCTTCTCAAAGCTACGCCGTTTTTCCGAGGCTTCGAACGAAATCGACACCCTAGACGACTTCAACAGCAACTATTATAAGTACGAAACCTACCCTCGACTTTACCCGAACCGGTCTGGTTCGATGATCCCCTTCTCTCTTCGGTTCATCCATGCTCAGCTTCCGATCAAGCTTGGGAATCGGCAAGAAGGGTTAGATCGTTTTTATCTTTTGCTTAAGTTTATTCGTGAGAAAATAAAAGAAAAAGAAAGTAATAATCTACGTGATTCTGTCAGAATTTGGAAAAGAAGGGAAAATTCTATTTTGAATTGTTTGATTGGGCATCATTTGGGGGATAAGGAATTCAGTTTGTGTTTAGATTTGATCAAGGATTTGATTAATCGTGATTATTTAGATCCAGTTTTAGTTTCTAAATTAGGGTATATTCAGATGCAGATTGGGGATATCGAAGGGGCAAAAGGGTCGTTTAACCGTGTGGAGACGATGTTAAATGAAAAAAGGAGCTATGAGTATTTTCTGGGTGAAGTTCAATTTAGGAATCTTGTGAATAGAAACAAGGCCTTGGTTTATTTGGTGGGCAAAGATTATGTTTCAGCTGTGAGGGAATATGAGGAGTGTATAGAAAGGGATCATACAGATGTTGTTGCGCTTAATAATAAGGCACTGTGTTTGATGTATTTGAGAGATTTATCTGATTCAATTAAGTTATTGGAGAAAGCGCTAGAAAGAATTCCTACCATAGCATTGGATGAGACTTTAGTGATCAATTTGTGTAGTATGTATGAGTTGGCATATGTCAATCACTCGGAGATTAAGAGGACATTGAATAATTGGATTGTACATGTTGCTCCGGATGATTTTGACGCATCTTGTACAAGGGTTTGAGGTATTCTTTCATTGACTCGTTAACCATTATTTTTTTCTTATATTGTCTCAATTTTTGTTCAGTTAAGATCACTTTCCTATAGATTATCTGAATAATCTTGTTACTTGAGATACATTGTGTTCATAATGGATGCAATCTGTTTCCAAGTCGTTCTTTATTTATTGGTTCATTTGCTTTATTTTGTTCTATGATGCTACCATAATGGATTAGGTGGATTATTTAGTGGCTTTTGTTCACAAGGGACTTTGAAATCAATGGTTTGTAGGATGCAAACAAAATAAATTATAGTTATCAAACGAATTCAAATAGTTTTTATGATTTTTTTTATGAAACTTACTTCTAATGCATCACGCGAAAGGATCCATATTATACTGCATTTGATGGTTGATCTGTGCATCATTGTGCTTTGGGACCTTGCA